CACCCACCCCCCCGCTGCCCACCGGCCCACCCGCGTCCTCTTTTCTCCGTTCCCTGAGTTCCCACCACCACCACCCTTGGTCTTTGTGCTCAGAGCAGCACACCAGGAGGGCAGCCAAAGAGCTCACCGCCTGCACCCACCAGCTAACTTTCAGCCTGGACCTTCATAGACCCTTCACGCATGACGCCAAAGCCCCTCAAAAGAATACACAGGGCACAGTGGCAGCCACCACCTCAGCGTAAGCGTCCCCGCATGCCAGGCGTGCCATTTCATTTCACGCCCACTCACAAGCATGGGAAGGGAAGGGCCCCATGAGGCTTGTCCGGCCTGCACTGACAATTCCCCAATGTGGACAGCGCAGCAGCACTTTCTGCTCACGCCATGTGCATGTGTTGGGGCGGCGGGGGGGGGGGAAGAGTCCAGTTTTGCACAGAATCTATATGGCCCACAGTGCTGAATGGATGCACCCAGATCCTGAAAAACTGCTGATCCATTTAAGCAGGTGTGGGAGCTCACTCTCGGTCTGACCCAAAACCCATAGATGCTGGGAGGCCGGGGGGCTCGTGGGGGCAGCCTGTGTCCAGCATCACCAGGGGCCCCACCCATCCTTCTCCCGTCTTGCTTCCATCTCCTCCCGTTTTCCTTCTCTTCAAGATTCTCAGCATGCAGCCATGCCTCTGTCCCCCCCCCCCCCCGGTCTGGTGGGACGCCTCCCACAGGCAGGATCCTCCTCTCACACAATCCCTGGAGAAGACATCCCAGGAGCTGAAGGTCTCTAGGTCTGATACTTTGACCTTCAACATCCACACCTCCCACCTTGTGGTCTGCTCTACCCTTGAGACACACCTTGCCGTGCCCTTGTGGGGGTGCTCGCCTACATCAGGGGACTGCAGCACGCTTGCGTTTTGTGCCTGCCAGGCACCAATGTGAACGATCTCCACACACGGGACTCTCCTCCATAGTTAAAATGGCTATTTGTTTCGGGGGTGTGTGTGTTGTCTTTCTTCCTCTTCAGCCTCTCTAATGGTAAGCACCACAAAAGGCATAATTTATAACTTACTGTATAAAATTGTACCACTTAGCATATTTATGAAACTTAAAAGTATAAATGCCTTAGTTTTCTACAAGTAAAGTTGCAAATTAATACTGTGTGTGTGTGTGTGTGTGTGTGTGTGAGAGAGAGAGAGAGAGAGAGAGAGAGAGAGAGAGAGAGAGAGCTACAAACTGCTGCACTTTTGGTCCCTTATCACATGTATCAGAGGTAGAGTAGTTGAAAATAGAAAACACAGTTAGTATTAAATAAAATAAAGTACGTTATCTGCACAGAAGCAGAGACACGACAGTCCCAATAGGACCAGCAGCGTATTTGGAGATCAAGCTAAACTTTATAACACTGAAAACACAGAACTCGACTATAGTATATACTATACTATGCTTTCTACATCAATGGCCAGGTCCCCGAACTTGTGAGCCATTCTGAGGGTGACAGAGCTAATTCAGCAGAAGGGTAATTTATGTGCCCACTGTGCAGGGCTCCGTGCAGGCCCAGAGACGATGATGCCTCCTGGGTCTTCCGAAGCATCTTCTGCGTCGGTGAGGCAGGAGACGGCCAGATCTGGCCCTTTATTCCAGCAAAGAGATACCTCCGGAATGAATGAAGTGGGCATGAGGAAGCACGTTTGGCCCCAGGGATGCCCCTGTTGTGTTGTTAAGCTTCCAAAGGGGGGGCGTGGCTCAGTGGTGGAGCACATGCCTGGCATGCAGAAGGCCCCAGGTTCAATCCCCGGCAGCACTCCCAGTTTAAAGGGGGTGATGCGAAAGACCTCGGCCTGAGGCCCTGGAAAGCTGCTGCCAACCTGAGAAGACTGACTTTGATGGACCAGATGTCTGATTCAGGCCAGGAGGACCCAACTTTCTGCTCTCTCACATGTCACACAGTCACCAGTTGTACGTCTCAGCCCTCTGGAATGCCTCCCACACCAATGTTTCCATGGCAGGAAATCAGCCCCCACAGAGGCTCCCTGGGTCCTTCTTTCCTGGGTCCACTCTACTGTGGTCCGGGGGGGGGGGACTGCAAATTCATTAGGGGGTGCAACCCCCAGTGCCCCCCCACGCTGGCTACGGACCTGCAGATGAGGTGTTTACAAAACCCACGACAGGCCAGGCGGCTCTGGAAGCTTTGGCTGGCAGTGCTCACGAGTGCTTTAGCTGACAAGGACCTTTTCCAAGAGCTTTAATATTCTGTGCGTTAAGAACATAAGAACATAAGAACATAAGAGACGCCAATGTTGGATCAGGCCAAAGGCCCATCCAGTCCAACACTCTGTGTCACACAGTGGCCAGAAATACCAGTGCCATCAGGAGGTCCAGCAGTAGGGCCAGGACATTAGAAGCCCTCCCACTGTTGACCCCCCCCCAAGCACCAAGAAGACAGAGCATCACTTGCCCCAGAGCCCCTAGCTATACCTTGTGGCTAATAGCCACTGATGGACCTCTGCTCCATATGCTTATCTAATTCCCTTTTGAAGCCGTCCATGCTTGTAGCACCCACCACTCGGGGGGGGGACCTGCTGGGGCTGCCTTGCATGCCTCTGCTCCTCTAAGGGGCAAGTTCGCTCCTGCGCCTCCCTCTCGCCCATCCAGTTCCAGGGCCCCTACAGAGACACCCATCGGAAGGAGAAGAGCCCGAGCACATTCCAGACGTTTGTTCATTCCGAGGCCTGCAAGCCTTTGCAAGAGCTAAATATCAGCAAGTGACCTGGAATGTCAGATAATGCCACTGCTTTGGTGTTCTTTACAGAAGCTGAAATGCCAAATAGGTAGCGATTCCTTGAACCTTCCTTTCCGAAGAAGGGTGCGATCTCTGCTCAGGGACTGGAAAGAGGCAGCGGGTCTGACGGCTTGATCCAGGAGCCAAGCCCAGCTCACCCAATGCCCCCCCATCCCCATGCAAGGGCAGATCCCCCCGCGTTTGGGGCCACTTCCAGGCCAGGCCAGGGGTGGGGGGAATCTCTGCCCAGCTCTGCCAAGCATTTGCCCTGTGCACAGGACTGGGTTCATTTCCTCACTGTGGGTTGGTTGCCATGCCGAGGCCCATTCCTGCGACAGGATTTTTACCTAAGAATTAACTCCCTGAGAAAGAGACCTGATCTCCCTGCTGCACACGGCTGCTCGGCTGTGGGTGAGCCAAGTGCCCAGGAGGGCCACCGAGCTCATGGCACAAAGGAAAGGGTGCAGGATTTCAAGACAGTCAGCTGAGGAATTGGGGAAATCAGAACCAGCCGGCCAGCTCCACGGCACCATGACGTATACCCATCTCTTTAAGACTGAATCTCCCGCTCACATTGCCAGATATGAAATGCAAAATGCCACTTCTCAGAACCTGAAGTTGCTCAAGGGGCATCAAGTCCCCGAAGGGCGGCAGGGGAGGCCTGGGCGTGTGGCCTCCTCTGATGCCCAGTGGCGCTCCAAGGCCAAGGTCTCAGGCAGAGAAAACACAAGCACAAGTACCAGGCAGCGCTCACCTGGAGATGCTGGGGCTGAACAGAGCGGATGCTGCCTCAAATCCCAAACTGCAACCTGTTTGCAGCCTCAGCAGGCCGCAATGGCACGAGCACCCAAAACAGCCTCTCCCACTTTTCAGTCCTAAACCAGCTTCCCACAAACTGCTGCACCGCCCCTGTGCTTCCCTTCCCATCGATTGCATTCATCAACTTCCCACTCCTTGCCGTGCAGCTGCATTCTGACCCGCATCATCCCCCGATCATGAAGACGCTGGGGAAATTGGGGGATGCTGCAGGTCAAAACGCAGCCTCGCAGCAAGTAGTGGGAAACTGACGAATGTAATGGGGGGGGGAAGGGAAGCACAAGGGCGGTGCAGCGGCTTGTGGGAAATCGGTCCTAGTGTGTCGCAAACTGTTATCACCCCCACCACATAGAACCATCAAATGTTAGAGCTGAAAGGGACCTTGCAGGTCATCTAGTCCAACCCCCTGCATTCTGCAGGAGCATGCCCAAAAGATAGCCCTACAACATACCCAAAAGACGGTCATCCAGCCTCTGCTTGAGAACGTCCAGCGAAGGAGCCTCCACCACCTCCCGAGGCCGTCTGTCCCACTGCTCAGCCACTCTGACAGTCAGGAAGTTCCTCCTGATATGTAGCCGGTATATCGACTCCCTTGCAATTCCCACCCATTGGATCTAGTCTTGCAATCCGGAGCAAGAGAGAGAATAGATCCGCTCCATCTTCTACATGGCGTCCCTTGAAATCTCTCTGCAGGCTTTCCCAGAAGAGCCCCTCCCCCGAGGAGGACCGCCTCTCTCACCTCAGGCTCTGTGCGCTGCGGCTGCCCACCGGTTGTCTCGAGAGGGTTCCAGCCAAAGTCGGGCCTGACGCAGATGACCAGCCGGACGTCGAGGCAGACCACGACTGGACACTTCCTTCCGGCTCCAGGTTCAAGCTCCAGCTGGACCCCAGGCTCAGCTGGCTCTCCCTGCAAGCAGAACACAGAAGGCGGCTCTCTGTCGGGGCCCTTCCAGCGGCAGAGTCACTCGGCCAGGGCACGCGGCACAGCCACAGCCCCTCAGTCCCAGCCGGCACGGCTCCATCCTGCCCCACTTCCAGGGAGCTCAGAGCAGCGGGCATGGGTCTCCCCCCTCCCCTTTTATCTCCCAGCCTGGAGGTGAAGCTGACGGAGAGGGACTGGCCCACGGGTCAGGAAGACCAAGGACCAGCAACACGAGTCCTTTCATGAGTCACAGCTCATTTCCTCAGATGTGTGGGAATCAATCTGAATGCTTTAGAACAGAGCCAGAGTCCAGGGGCACCTTCAGGACTAACAGAATATGCGGCAGGGTGTGCGCTTTCATGAGTCACTGCTCCCTTCCTCTAGCTTGAGTGCTGTGAGTCTTGAAGAAGATGAAGAAGAGGTTGGATTTATACCCAAGGGAGTCTCAGAGTGGCTGACAAACTCCTCTCCCTTCCCCTCCCCACAACAGACAACCCCTGTGAGGTCGGTGTGGCTGAGAGAGCTCTGACAGACACTGCTCCTTTTCAAGGACAGCTGTGACAGAACTATGGCTTGCCCAAGGTCATCCAGCAGGTGCAAGTGGAGGAGTGGGGAATCAAACCCGGTTCTTCCACATTAGAGTCCGAGCACTTAACCACTAAACCAAACTGGCTCCTAGGTGCCCCTAGACTTCTGTTTTGTTTTGTTGCAATAGACTAACAGGGCTACCCTTGTGCAATGACCCAAGGTCATCCAGAGAGTAGTCTGCCGATTGGAACCAGTGTCCCCTCTAAGCTGAGTGAGTGTGAGCTAGCTCACAGTTTCTTAGCCTCCGGCTCACCCGTTTTTGTCTTTGCTCAGGAAGGATGGGGCTCCAGAGCAAACTAATTTCTGCAGCAGCCAAATCGCTGGCTCACAACTTTAATGCCAGGAGCTCACAAAGTAGAACTTTTGCTCACAGGACTCCACAGCTTAGAGGGAGCACTGATTGCAACCCCCGTCTCCTTCATCCTAGCATCCCACTGCTGATTATTTCCATTGTCACCAGTGAGAAGGATGCGCTCAGGGCCGCAGGGCAGAAGGGTATAAAAAGGTCAACCCAAGAGGATCACTCCAGAGGAAAAACCTGTTAGGAGTACTTGTGCTGCCAACAATGGACACCAGTCACTGAGTACAGAAAAGTGGAATCAGGACACCAGCCGCTCTTTAGACAGTTCACCGTGTGTACACACACACACACACACACACACACAGAATGATCTGGAGAGAAAGCCAAAGTTGTGGGGCTGACTTTGGACTGAGATACTTCAGAGACGAGACCTCAGGGTTTCTACTCTTCAGGTGCCCCTGCTGTAAATGTTCATGGTGATGTGGATATTTTGCTGTGGCCATGGCCCCCCTTCTCTGTATAGCGATCTTCATATGCTATGTCACTATTCATACAATCACACCCTGTTTGTTCGTTTGCCTTGGAGTCTGGTCATTTCCCTTGGCAGAGGGAGAAAGAAAGTGCAGAAGCAAATGCTGGGGGAAGGGCTCTTGGAATAGAGCGTCTTTAGCTTGTCAGAGAGGAGAGTCCCTCCCAGAGCCAGGCTTCTCTGATGTCTGGGGGGGGGGGAGGACTCTGAGAGGCAACCCCACCCCTGCAGGGAAAGCCACCGTGACATGATTCTGCTGTATGTATCGAGCAACTGCAAGCAAGAGGCATCGGACAGGGACTCCCAGACTGGCCAGTCCGATATGTTCCCCGCTCTGGGAATGTATCAGGACTTCTCTCTGAGGCGGAACTGAACTGCAGGCCTCCAAAATGCAAGAAGAGAAGATCCCATCACTGGTCCCAGAGCTTGAGGAGGGGGGGCCTCAATCACATGTTGCCAGCCCTCCAGCGTGGTGGAGTGATTAAGGGTGGCGGACTCTAATCTGGAGAGCCGGGTGCGATTCCCCACCAGCGCTCCCTCTAAGCTGCGGAGTCTTGTGAGCAAAAATCCTACTTTGTGTGCTAATGGCATTTATGTTAGGCTGCTGCCTAAATTAGTTTGCTCTGGAGCCATCCCTTCCTGAGCTAAGGCAGAAATGTGTGAGCCGGAGGCTAAAAAGCTGTGAGCCAGCTCACACTCACTCAGCTTAGAGGGAACACTGTTCCCCACTCCTCCTCCCCATGACGCCTGCTGGGTGGCCTTGGGCCACTCCCAGTTCTCTCAGAACTCTCTCAGTTTCGCCTGCCTCACAAGGTACCTGTTGTGGGGAGAGGAAGTGAATGTGATTGTGAGCCACTCTGAGGCTCCTCAGGGGAGAGGAAAATGGGGTATAAGAACCCGCTCTCCTTCCACCTCTTCTTCCTTGGTGAGTGGCAGCACTTGCACACCATCTCAGGAAATGCCGAACTGCAAGCTGGGAAGCATGCCGGGCCCCCTCCTCTTCTTGCCACATCAGAAAAAGCCAAGCAGCTTTTGGGGAAACCTTTGGTGCTGAGGCAAGCACTGAGAGTGTCCTCAAACATACAGTTCAAAGCACTTTGGGGCTCTCGTTGGTTCATATGTTGAGCACCAAGCCTTCTTTGTCTTTCTTGCACACCCACCTGGAGCGCCGTCGGACAGAAATGTGGGCCAGAATGCCGCAGAATTGAACAAATTGCCCATAATGCTCGTTTGCATTACAAATGCATCTCTCCTCTCTCAGCCACTCAGCTAAGCAGCAGGAGAGGTGCTCAAAGGCAGTTGAGGACTCCAGACCCCCAGAAATCCATCAGAAACTCATCAAGCGCCTCTCCCCCCCCCCACTTCCCCAACTCAGAGTATTCCATTCCGCCAGGGGTCATCTCGTAGAAAAAGAGGTGCAGGGGCTCATTTGCATAAGTCATTTGCATATGCCACACCCCCTGACAAAGGGCAGGCATGCAAGCGTCCCTGGATTCCCTGCCCAATTTTCTCCAGGTGCCCCACAGCTGCAGGGCACCTGGAGAAGATCGGGCAGGGAACCCAGGCATGTTTAGAATGCTTTTCTTTCCCTTCCCCATCTGGAGAAGGGAAAGAAAGGCGTTTAAATTCCCCCAGGTGGCAGGTGGGGGGTTGTCCAAGGCTCCTTATGGCCGGAGCGCTGCTCCACCGCGCTCGGGCAGGAAACGACCCCTGCAAACAAGCATTTTATGACTGTTCAGGAGTTTGCCTCTCTCGTCACACACTGGCCAGTGCCCCTCCGGCTCACTTACGTCTCGTGCCTTGAGCTGAGCGATTCTCGAGCAGTCTGGACACTGTAAGAAAAGGGGAGGGGAACCAATCGTTATTCAGGATTTAAACACCAGCATACACCTCTGGATGACCCAGCCTTGCTCTGGGTGGGGCGTCTGGATCGGACTCCTTCCCTCCACCACGCCTCTCGGAGCTCTCCCAAATGAGGAAAGGTTTACAAGCCCCACACAGAGGGGCAACGCCAAACCCCACTGCATTGTGTCGAGTGCCCCATTTCTGCTGATCTAATTGTCTGATGCTGCGTGACCCTCCTCAAGTCCCGGTGGGAAAGGGGGACTGTAAGTGAGCCAGCGGTGCGGGGTGGGTGTTGGGGGGGCTTGCACTTCCTGCAGAGTAGCAGAAGAATCGGTGGGCTGTAACTCCCAGCTTACTCTTGGGCAAGACAAAGAGAAATGTTTGGCTTCGTGGAAGAAGTTCACTTGGCAACTGTGCCAGGCTTTTGTGTTTGTGAATCTGTGTATTTCTGTTTAGCTCGCTTTATATAGGAGGGAGCTGACAAGGGAAAACAGGAACATGGGTATGAAATGGGGGGTTGGCAAGAGAGAACGCAACCCAAAACATTTTAATGGAACAGCCTCTGGCTTTGAAGCCCGGCTCTTGGAATGGCGCCGGCACATTCATTGCGGAAGAGGAGCACAATTAATTCTCACGGCTGCCAGCCAAGGCTTGCTGGGACACAGAGAACGGGGCCTCTGTTTGCAAGGACCTCTCCGCAGCTCCACTTCCCCGTCTTTCACGCTGGAGGCTGCCTGCTCGCAGTGCCTGCAGGTACGAGGAACGTCCAAGCCACACCTGCCGCCTTCCGCTTGGAGCCCTTCCTTTCTGGGGGCCTCCTGTTCAGTATGCCCGGCAATGCCCTTATCTGGGGTCTGCTAGCAGGAGAGATACACGCCCTGAAGCTGTCAGGCTGACTAATGGCTGTGCAGAGATCCCAGACAGAGTCCCTGGGTGAAGACCGCTGGCGGAGGGGAAGCTCTCGGGCCATTTGATCCGGCTCATCAAGGGCCATTCTAAGCAGCACCAGTTTGGAAAAGGTGGGGTGGGGTGGATATCTAAGACCATCCAGGAGGGAGAAGAAAACATCCTCTGAGCCAATCTCAAAGACTGAGCCAGCCCCCACTCTCCCAGGGGGCCATGGTCACTGCCTGCTAAGATCCTGCCTCCCAGTCCCAGGTGACTGGGCGTTAAACCAGAGTGCTTAGCAGTAAGGGGAAAGCCCTCTGCACATGCTCAGGAGCAGCAAGAACACCTTCTGGGAGAGTGACATCAGCACAGCTCGGCTCAGATGCAAGAGGCAGTTTCTGGGTCCGGGCAGCAGCTTCTCATCCAGGGCTTAAACGTGGCTCTTATAAGCTGCTTGGGGGATCAGAAGGGGGGGGAAGCAGGGGGAATGAAAGTGAAAGTCAGGACGACAACACTCAAGGGGAAGGCATGGAAACCGCCAGCAGAAAAAGCAGCCAGAGAGACCACCCCCATCTGAAATCAACGATTCCCCACCACAGGAACGCCTGACCTCCCCCACACCCAATAATCAAAGGCGGAACGTCAAAGGCCTGTTCGTAACAGTCCTTCAAACCCTTAATGGAGAGTTTGTTGGAGTGAGCGACCCAGCATGCCTGGACGTTGGCGGGCGCAACATCACTCCAAGTGTGCATAGCTATCTCCTTGAATGGGATACCTCTCTCTTGGTCTTCACCTGGAGAGAAGCTGTCCTCCGACCCCTCCTCTTCCTCTCTCTGTGTGCGTTGTCCCACCCACCCCTTCTTCACATGGTTCTCCATGGAGTCACATGTCTCTGCAGCAGTGTTCCCTCTAAGCTGAGTTAGTGTGACCTAGCTCACAGTTTTGTAGCCTCCGGCTCACACATTTTTGTCTTAGCTCAGGAAGGATGGCTCCAGAGCCATTTCAGTAGCCAAATCTCTCGCTCACAACTTTAATGCCAGTAGCTCACAAAGTAACATTTTTGCTCACAAGACTCCACAGCTTAGAGGGAGCATTGCTCTGCAGGTCTCTCCGGAAGACAAAGAAGAAAAAGAAGAAGAAGAAGAAGAAGAAGAAGAAGAGGAAGAAGAAGAAGAAGAAGAAGAAGAAGAAGAAGAAGAAGAAGAGATTGGATTTATACCCCTCCCTTCACTACCCAAGGGAGTCTCAGAGCGGCTTACAAGCTCCTTTCCCTTCCCCTCCCCACAACAGACACCCTGTGAGGCAGGCGGGGCTGAGAGAGCTCTGACAGAAACTGCTCTTTTTCAAGGACAGCTCTGACAGGACTAGGGCTTGCCCAAGGTCATCTAGCAGCTGCAAGTGGAGGAGGAGTGGGGAATCAAACCCGGTTCTCCCAGATTAGAGTCCGCGCACTTAACCACGACACCAGACTGGTAGAAACAATGCCCTCATGCTCCCACACATATCTGGCCACTTGTGATCGGGAAAGTACTCTTTAGATGAGATCTCTCTCTCTCCTTTCCAGCCGCAGCCTGGATATGAACGGAATTTACTTGAATAAATGTCAGTTTTAACTTTACAATTTGCTCCTGGGAGATTTATTTTCCGGCACGCAATATCATGCATCTATGACTGTGCAAACTGTGCTGTGTTAGCCAAATATCCCAGTAGAGTGAACCTTCTATGAACCCCCCAGAGGAGCCCAATCCACCCCTGGGGCATTGCTTCCGACTGGGGCCCTGGGTCTTGGGACAGCTTCCTGTATGCCCGTGCCTAGTTCGGTCCCTGTGGGAGAAGGCAGCGCTTCAGGTCCCAGATCTACAGGGCTAGAGCTTTCGGAACCAGCACAGGAAATTGGGCCCACACACTATTTGGACCAGCACAGAGGAAACAGAACAAGAGAAATAGGCTCAGGGCGGTGTGTCTCCCTGCCCCCCCCCCCCCAGCAATCTGGCAGCTCTACTCTGGACCGGTGGCAGTTGCTGAGCCCTTTTCCGAAGCAGCCCCACAAAGAGCCTGTGTGACCAGCAGCCTCCTGACGAATCAGCTGAAAATGCTCTCCCCAAAGGATCCTCTGCTGCCTGGCCAGCCCAGGGGCCACGCTGGGTTCAAGAGGACCCCTTACACAGCAGACCTGGGAGCGTGCCAGTCTGTCTGCATCAACCTTTACCCTTCGGGAAGCGACGGTGCCACGCTTAGGCACGCCAGAAGGGCACCGTGGCTGACGGCATCCCCAGCTGCCAAGCAGCCCCTGAGAACCAACAAGGACACCCTGTCCCCAGCCCAGCCCAGCCCACGATGTGTCCAGCCTGGGATTCTGTTCAAGGGATGAATGTCAGCAACACAGATTTCCCCGTCCAGTCTCGCTTCCACTGTTTCTCTTGGCAGTTTTGACACAGGGAATACTCTGCATCCAGCCAGGTGCAAGTGAAGGAGGAGTGGGGGATCAAACCCGGTTCTCCCAGATCAGAGTCTGCGCACTTAACCCACTACACCAAACTGACTCTCAGCAAGGGTTAGTCTGTGATTGCAGTCCTGCGAGGCTCTGCATCCTGAGAATTTCGGCCCCCACGGAGGCAAGTTCCCGTGCACGCTGGCCATGCCCACTTGCTCTCATGCCTCCCCGACAGCTTCATGAACCCTCAGCAGGAGAGCTGCAGTGGAGTGGGACGTGGGGGCCGTTCCCCTCTTGCCCATGCTTGCAGCTGCGGAGCAGACCCTGCAGGCAGAAGACACCCAGGCACCTGCAGGGGTTGGAGCCCCTCCCTCTCACAAAGCCCCTTTTCTGGCACAGGATTTGGGTGGTTTTGGCAGGGTTGCTGACAAACTAAAAATACTCCCCCACAACCGTGCTGGTTTTCAGGGCAGCTTCCATGAGCTCCCCCCACCCCTTACAGTAAATCTTTGCAGGACGATGCTTCACTCACGCATGGACTTCGTGCTGGGTTCCTCCTTCTCCCAGATCCTGGCCAGGGCCCAGATTTTTTATTTTGTTCGAGATTGGCCACCTGACTTTTTGGCTCGGAGCACCTGCAGCCCCATCGCCAAGGCCAGCCGGAAGCTCCCAGCTGGTGACCGAAGGGCACAAAAAAAAAAAAGAGAGGCGGGGGGGGGGGGGGTGTCACAGGAAGCTGCCTCCCACTGAACCAGCCCATCGGTCCTGTCAAGGTCCACACTGTGCACTCAGACTGGCAAGGCCTCTCCAGGGTCTCAAGTAAAGGTCTTCCACGTCACCTTCTGCTTGGTCCTTTCAGCCGGAGAGGCTGAGGATTGAATCTGGGACCTTCTGCATGCCGAGCAGAGGCTCTCCCACTGAGCCAAGGCCCCTCCTCATCAAGAGAAACAGGAAGGGAGGGAAACTCCAGGCAGCTGCCCCCTCCCCGACATACATGCACGCTCACCTCTCTGTGTCACTGTCATCGCTCGACTGCACCTCCTCCAGAGCTGCCTGCAAGTCTGCAATGCGCCGGATCGAGGTCTCTAGGTCTGCTTGCAGCGTTTGCCTCACGGCAGAAAGCTCGCCCACTTGCTTCTCCTAGGGCAACAAGAGTTAGGGGTTAGTGTTCACCTCCTGACGTTGTGGACAGGACTGGGGCTAGTGCCATCAGTTCAACGTCTCGGACTTTTCCCCTGCAGGAGCGCTGCAAGAACAGCTGCAGGGCCTGGCAAGGAAAAGAGTCCAGAACCTAACAAAGGGTAGTAAAATGTGAAAAAGAGGGCCAATATTAAAAACCAAATGTAGAAAATATATAGGAAAAGATGCATGTATTTATTAATTACAAAATTTAAAACATATATATAAGGGCCCATTCACATCAAGTATATAAATGACATGGCAATACACACGGGCTTTAAAAACCTGACCTGACGCATTTCGGCCTGCATAGGCCTTCCTCAGAGGTCAAACAATTGAGTGGCAAGATGGCTATATAAATATATTACAATCATGTAGACACAATCAGAATGGATACAAATTATAAATTCAATATGGACCAGAAAAGAAGTTGTTCCAGAATAAAACTACCAGGCACACAATAAATAAGCCAATGAGATCTTTAAAAGAGCCATCCCTTGCCCAGTGGTTCTAAAGTACAGACTTTTGCCTTCTTTGCCTTCTTCGATTGTGTTGCCACAGTGTTCTCGAGTAAAAAGCAGAGCCCTCCAGCACACGATCCTGCTCCACCGCTGCCAACTATGTGCAGATGTGCACCTGAGACTCCCCCCAAACAGGCAGACAAGTGGGACTGGCTGCAAACACGCTGGCAGGCTGAGGAGCCACCGTGGCCAACAGGCCCACCAGGCAGGGCTAGTTTCAGGCTTTGGAAGGCCCTGAGCACAGAGCGCCCAGGGGCCCCGTCCCCTCTTCTGCCCACCAGCAGGCCTCCCTCCCTTCTGCCCGCCCGCCTGCTTCAGTCTCCTTCCTTCCTCCGCCTGTGAGCCCACCCCGTGGCCTTTCTCTGCTGGCCCTGGGCAGTGGGCGGCTGAGAGTGCCAGCCCTGTGCACCACCTGCAGGCCCTTCCCCAGTGAGGCTGGGTGATGCATGTGGCAGGGAGGGTCCCAAACAGATGAAGGCGAAAGGCATGCATGCAGACAAGGGCGTAGACTTTCCAATTTCCCGGGGGGGGGGGCTGGGGCTCGGCCAGAGGCATTGCTAAGTCATTAAAAGAACTGGGACCCAATGACATCATAGGGAGGAGCTAGGGATTTAGGGATGGGCTCCCCAGAAATTTAGGGAGGCCTGGGAACCGCCCTAGCAATGTCCCTGGGCTGGGCTAACCCCAGGAACAGTTGCCTTCTTAGCACACTGCTTAGAAACTTAGAAGGCCCCCCACACACCCCACACTGGAATAAGAACATAATATCAGGCCATACCACATTGCAATAAAGCCCCTACAACTGTATACAGAAATACTGAGCTTCCCTACCATTTGCCACAACTAGCCCACCACACAAGAAGAAGAAGAAGAAGAAGAAGAAGAGATTGGATTTATTCCCCGAGGAGCGAGCGCACGTCTTCCTGCTCCACCGGCCCACCACCTCTCTTGATGTAAGAACATGCAATTTCTTAAGCTGCAAAGAACTTCCCCTCAGAAGGA